CTGGCAGTGCTTATGCAATGGATTAGGTCATTGTCAGGAGGCAGAAGGGGACCCTGGGTCCACACAGGTGATGAAATGACACAGAACTCTAATCACACACTGTGCCAATATCACAGCTATCTGTATGACCTGGGTAACTTGCTGTGGTTTTGATAATTATTTCAAAATGCAAAGTATACAAACTGAGCTAAGCAAACTTCCAATGTTAGTCTAAAATATAAAGCCTACAATTGGATAAATACTCAAGAAAAGCATAAACAATGTCCAAACATAGAATCAAACACACTGAGGGGAAATACTGGGATTCATTATGTTGGAAGAAAAATCTCGCTATAAAGAAAAATAATTAACTCTTAATCACATTTTTTTTTCTCCAAAGATACAGTACAGATAAAAATAAAGATAAAATTGAACTATGAAAGTATTAGAGAGAAGGGAGGATTCAAAAAATATTAAAGAGACAGATGCTGAAATGCAACTCAATGGTAAGGTACTTACCTACCATGGGCAAGGCTTTGGGCTCAATTTTTAGCACTAAATAAATATTTAGGTGAGGAAGAATTTCAACCTATGAAAGAAAATTCAGAAGCAAACAAAGGAAATATTTTTAAATTTTACAGCATAAAAATTTCCTCACGGCCACAAAACTCATTAACAAAATCAATTTTAAACATTTGTAAAGGTACAAATCCCAGTAATGAATGTAACTGTACTGTATACCTAGAATGCACCAATAAACTTAATTTAAAAAAAAACATAAACTTGACAAACAACATAATGTATAACATTTAAAGATTTATCCTCAAAATATAAGACATCTACTAGTGCAGTGAACAGAGGGTTCAATGCAAAGAAAATGCAGAGTCTATCTGAACTAAATGGAAAAGAAATATACATCCATGTTTGTAATTAATTTTCTAATAAAAGCTAATAGTATAACCCATCTTTTCCTAATACAGTGGAAAGGATCAACAACTGATTATACACAGAGGTTGCTGACTGAGATGTAGATCAACAGAATCTTGGATGTATTGCTGATGCAAGGAGTCGGAATTAGTACAATTTTTAGACAGAGTTTGGATTTAAATGTAAAATAAAAATCCAAAATTAACACTTGAACCCAGGATTGGCATTAACATATGTACCATATAAGTTAATTATTGTATATATATGAAATACCATTTTGTTAATATAAAATGTTGGTGAAAAAATCTTAAAAATATCTTATTATGAGGTTGCTGAAAATAATGACTAGCCATTAAAATAATAGAGGTATCCATATTAGCAGTGATATGGAAATGCTTAACATTTATTAAGCTACAAATTATAAAGCAAGTATATTTAGGTTGGCTTAGTACCATAAAAATATGTAAATATGTATATCTTTTTAATTTAGTAGAATTAAAATGTTACCTCAAATATAACATTTCATAACAATTGCCACAGATTAGAAAGTTGATCCCTTAAAGAAGGCATATTCTTTAAACTATTCTCTTTTGTTTCATTTGAAATGTATACTATTTGGAGATCAGTGGAGGTGAATTAATTTTTTAACACATATTTAAATTTTAAGCAAATTTTTATTTTAGTCCTTTAGGTATTTAACAAAGCCTGTTTTGCTTTCAAAGTGGAATCCTCAATTCCATGAGGTCCAAACCAAAGGACAAATTGAAATTTTAAATTCACTGTCAAACAAACTTAAATGTGCTCTAAACTCAGAAACTATAATATAAATAGCACCCGACCACATGAAGGAAGAAGTCAGAAAGAAGGGTTTTGTACAACAGAAAACATAGTGAGAAGAATATGGTCTCACTCCTGAACACAAAGCAATACCTACAGTAACAGCAAATAAATGAATAGGTGAAATTCATCTAGAATGAAAAAAAAAGAACAGAATAAAATGATCAGTTTATGGGTTTATCAGCCACCCTTTTCGTGATGAACTATAGTTTGAAGATTGCATTCAGATAGCCCCTTAAAAGTGCTTGCAAAGACTGCACATACATTTTCAAAGGTAGTTTGCTTGAAAGGTAAATGTTAGTCACTGTTCCTTGCAGATGAATTTTGAAATCTTGTCTGTTATAGTATGACATACAAATCATAGTTAGGGAAACTTCATTCCTTAATTTGAAAACCTCAGCTAGGCATGTGAAAAGAATAAAATATTTATGCAGTTTGCAATTCAATCAACTACTAATCGAATAGTTACTAGAATGAAAAGGATTAATAATTTTTGAGTTTATGACCTGGAGGCAAACAAGTTTCAATATGCTGATTAAAACTTATGCAGTAACACTAATATATCAAAACTACTTTGAGAAAGCTAAAATAAAATTCAATCATTTTTGCTGAATAAATGAAATAAATATTTGGTTATAATAAATTTAATTAAAATATGTTTAAAGGTGGAATGAAAGCTGTTTGAAGCCCTGAATTAGAAACACAGAATTTTTTTCCTTTACACTTCAGGAAACATATCAGACTCTAATAGGGGAATTTTTTTCAGACTCTAGGACTATGTTCTTCCTAATTTCCTGAATAATGGCTACATAGCACTCTTTTTTCTAGTTTCTGAATATAAAGTATAGTGGACCCTTGACTTACAAACTTGATCAGTTCCCACAGGCTGGTTGTAACTCAAGTTGGTTATAAGTCAATACAGCTGAGATCTGCATGTTTACTTAGATACACACTATATAGATAACAAGAGGCAGATTAATTTTCCATTAATCTAATTAACCTAAGTTGTTCATATGTTGTCAGTCATAACTTGAGGGTCCACTGTAGTTGTAAAATCATTTTTCAAGAGCAGCAAAGAAGAAACTTAATATAACAGTGTATTTGTCCATCCAGCCTTGGAGTTGGGAAGAAAATGACAGAATAATATTTTCATATTTATAATATGTAGAGCTTATTGTGTATATTCTGTACAACAAGATTGGAGCGAGTTAACAGTGGTAAAAGTGGACCACACTGGATGTCACAGAAATATCCCACAGGTGAAATGATGAAATTTTGGATTCAAATCATACTGTTAGGATAGGAAATGAATAGATTGATACCCAAAACATTTAGGGACTAAAATTAAAAAGAATTGGTTCTGGATAGGATAGGGTGGATGATACAAAGGATAACTTGCTGATTGCTTGAGCTGAAGAAATGGTATTTCCATTCTCTGACACTGCTAGGACTCATTGAGAGGTATTAAGGTCATGAGCTTTGAACGTGACATGTTAGATTAGAAAATTGCATATCAGTACACATGTGTTATGACTGTATTTGTTGAATTTCTATGAGTTAGATATTTAAATCTATTCTATTCAGCCTAGTCAGTTTCACTATTTAGAATACTTTTGCTATTATGACTGTTTAACAGCAAAATAGATTTCTGCAACTCAATTATTTGAAATAATTTACGAAGCATCAAGCAGACCTAAATTCTGGCTAGATGATGTTATTCTAGTGAGAATGGCTTGGTTATCTTTGGTAGTTTCACCCCTAAATGACATAAGTCAGTAGCTTGAAATAAATATGATAAACATGTGTAAACACTGAATAGTTTCTCTGGTCTGAAAACTAAAAGTGTGAATAAGGTTCAGACGGTACAACTGTTAATGTGACATAGGAAGAAAAGGGCTAAAGGAGTGAGGGAAGTGACAGGGTAGGGGAAAGGAAATAAGGGAAAAGAAAAAATATCAAAAAAAGGAAAAAATGGAAACAAAGTCTTTGTAAATAGGGAGAGGTGGAGGGGGTGAAGAGAGGGGAGGGGTGTGAGGAAAAATTAAGAACCAAGATACATCATGTAGAGGTACAAGATCCCAATGATGAATGTTATTGTACTGTATACCTAAAATGTACCAATAAACAATGGAAAAAAGTAGTGAAAATGTCAACTATAATCTCACAGTGCCTGAGCAAAAATTATCAAAATTTTATTGCATTTAATACTCGACACCAAGCCGAGTCAAAGGACACTTGATACTGCCAAATTAGAATGATGGACGAGCCTCTTCAGGTATTGAGATTTATGACATTTTTCTAATATGTTTAACCATCACTAGATTATCTACCTACTAAGCAATGAAACCATGCAGAAGAAATTTTGGCTAAAATAACTCAGTTACATTAACACCTTTCTGTAACATATTTCAATGATAAAAATGAATAGTTTTAAATTTATTTTGTATTATTGGTATATTGTGGCAGTACATAATCATTCCATTCATCCTGGAAACTTGATACTGCACATATCACATCTCTACCACTTTTAGTTTCCCTTCCCCTCTTCCTCTGCTCTCCTTCCCACCCCCACAAAGTCTAACTGCCTTTTTCTTTCCAACTCTCTTATATTTTGAAGTTTAAATTATTTATATCTTAGGTTTCTTACATTAGATAAACCATGTTATATTGTTCCTTCTACCTTTTATTTATTTCACTTAGCATTATGGTCTCAAGATTTATCCATTTCCCTACACATTACTCAAATTTATCCTTCTTTACGGCTGAGTAATATTCATATATAAAATATTTTCTTTGACCATTCATTTGGTGATAGGTACATAGTTTGCTTCCATAACTTCTCTGTTATGCACTGTGCTGATGTAAACATGGTTATTCAAGCATTACTATAAGATAATAACTGTAGTTATTTGGAGAAGATACTCAGAAGGGGGATTCCAAATGGAATTTCTGTTTTCAATGTTTTTGAGAATCACCCTATTGATTTCCACAGTGGTTTTATTGTTTGCCAACAACAATGTAGAAGGGTAGCTTTACCCCAAATTATGCCAGCATTTGTTTTGGTTTTTGTCCTTGATGATGGCCAGTGTTACTGGGTAAAATATACTTTATAAAGATAGCACCAACATGTATTTTAATTTTTTTTAATTACCAGGAGATATTAGAAGGCATTTTTTTCTTTTTCTTTTTCCTTCTAATTCTGTAGAAATTCTAGGATAGCACAGACGAATCCTTTCAGGGTTTTAAAGCTTTTTTGTGTTCATTTTAATATTATTTTCCAGAAAAATTATATTTTTACAAGGTATCCATCCTTACTACATGTGGTATGCCTGTGCACATGTTTATTAGTATCCAAAAATACTCTAAAAACAGTTAACATCTTGCACATGATATGTTTGACTTGAAGTGTTACATGAACTATAACTACTTTATAAACTTTCAGAAACAATGATAATTGTCTAAGCTAAATTAAAAGCTATACTTTTTAACAGATCTACGAGCAAAATAATACACTAGCCAAAAAATTAAATAACTTAATAAGTGATGTCTTCCCTAAGTAAACAAAGTAGAGGCTGAGTTCTCATTTTGGTAAGTTCATCAAATAAACAATCTGTCCACATATTTAACAAGTGGTTGAGAAAACTGGAATTTGTTGATAAATATAAACATAAAAACAAACCTCCCACAATTTACCATTTTGCTTCACTCTGTTTTCCCTCTCACTTAAAAAGAATGAGTCTGTAATTGTTGTGATTTAATTTTAGACTTAAGCCAAGTGAAATACACACAAAAAATATTGCATTGGCTTCTATAAATTAACAAAAAGTATATATGAAAGCAAACACCAGAAAAGCCATAATTTGTAAACAATGGTGGCAAACTTATGATACACCTGCCACAGCAGGCTGTTTGTATCATTCAAAGCTCTAAAAAGTTCACCCTCACTAAAATAGGAGAATGTGACATTTGAGTTCCTGACAGGTGACAGAGAAACACAAAATGGAAAAAAAAAATGTATTTCCCATTTGGAGAGAGCAGATGATCAGTCATTAATGTGAACAGATACAAAGGCCAGGCTTCACATTTTTGTCATGATTCTGTAGTTGGATAATAAACATGTGTGCTCTACTGGATGTTTAATATGACATTAGCCACATGTCTTTAGTGACATCTGCCTCTAAGTGAATTTAATATCCCTGACATCTAAGTCTCCATTTTATTTTGAAAAACATTCATAAGCATCTCACTAAAGGTTTTCAAATAAAAGTCATTAACATTTAGCCACTCAATATTGAAGAAAATAGAGAATATTCTGATAAATTTAGGGAACATGCATATTCAGAAAATTTATTTTAGTATTTATCTTTATATTAACATTTACCATTTTATGTTTATACACAAAGATTTCCATCATAGAAAATGTGAAGATACAGAAAATATGTCAAGCAGAATATTATAATTATTCATTATCCCATATCTGTACATATAACCACTGTCACCCTTTTGGTGTCACTCCTTTCAACCTATTCCTATCCATTTGTAATTTTTTAATACAATTAAAATCATACCATATAGTTAGATAATCTTACTTTTTCCTTAATATAGTATCATCATAATATTACACATTTTAAGTGTGAAGATCATGAATTTTAAACTCTACACAATTAGATCTAAAGTAGTTTAAAAAGTAGTACATTTAAGGGTATGATGCTATTTCTAACTTTTGTGATTTGAAATACAACTTTGGAACTCTTTTCTACACTTAGAATCCAGTACCCTAAATGACTACATTTTAAAACATTATAAGTCATTCAACAGACATAAAAAGAATCTAACTTAAATTTCTAGATACAGATAGTACAATAAAATGAAAAGCCTCATTGTTCTAATAAGGCACATTTCTCTAAAAGCACAAAGTCCAGTCTCCATGTAGTTGATGCCACTTGCAATGACCCTCTTTTCATTGAGGAAAATTCACCAACTTCTGCTATATGGGTGGCTTTTTTTATCTTGTCTCATGGCTGAGATATAAGTCAGGAGAGTCTTCTGAAATAGCTGGCACACTGAGGATAGAGCTTATCCTGCAGCTTCAAAGCCGGGGAGAATCTTCATTTCAAAATCAACTGTGAGTGCTGCACAAAATAGTCGACATTACCACAGTATTCACCAAATGGCAGTGCAAAGGTGACTAGCTTTGAAATGCTTATATGTAATTTTAGTTGTCTCTATACCCAAAGTAAAGTGGGAAAATGAGACACCAGATGATTTAAATCTACAAACAACAACAAAAAAATTAAAACATCTTTTGAACAATTAGCTTTACATTGAATTTAAAACTTATTTAAAATATTGGTTCTATTTTTAAAGTTATTTGATTTGGAAAATTCAGCAAAACCACTATATTTTAACTCAGAGTCAAGAACTGTAATTAAATATTCTTTTTTTTCAATTTTCAATAGGGAGCTATTGAAATTTCTAAAACACGCAAAAAACAGGGTTCCTTTTTCAAAAGTAGAATAACAAGTGTGCTCTTCAGTGTGCTAGAATCTGACACGTGTTGCAAACAGTAGCCCACAGAGCTGCGAGCTCCATCAGTCTAAGAACTGGCCAGGCACAGAAGCTGACAGACCAGAAGAGGTCTGAGCAAGGCAACTCAGGAAGGCAACTATTCCAGGTTGATGGCAGCCTGATCACTGTCACCCTCTTTCTGTGAAGATAAATTTAGAACGCAGCCTCATGTTCTCCCTTCACCCTCTTCTAAACAGTGATGCAAATTGGCGTATAACTTTTCAGTCCCTGCTCAGTAACTGACGTGGAAGCAGTGCCCCCTGCTCTTATTAATGGCTGTGACTATGGGGGAGCAGCTGTTTGCTCAATCCCCGTCCCTCAGGTGTCCTCACAGCAAAGCCCTGCTGCGTGTCCCCCTAATTGTTTCCATGACAGTTACTACATGCATTGGTTCAATCTGAAAGCAAGAAATGCCCTCATCAGAAAAGGCTAAAACTCACCCGCTGGCAGACAGACCTTTGCTTCTCACATTTGAAAGCACAGGTTCAGAATAGAAAAATGATTTAAACCACCAGGTGGATTCTGCCACTTCGGGTAACCCTATCAAATAATATTCATATTAAACTCTTATCAAAACAGTTTTAAGAAATTAAAAGCACATGGAAATAATGAAAGCAGTATTAAAATAGAAACTACACACCTTGTAGAGGTTTCTCTTCATCTATGATGTTAACAGAATCAGTGGCAGTCAATGAACTAACTGAAGAAATACTAGGTTCTGTAGGAACAGATTTGAACAGAAACAAGTAAGTAAATGACAAAACAAGGAGCATGTGCATATCGTCTATACAGATAAACATTTAAAACATGGTTTGAAGTCATTTACCCTTGGCTCATGAATTTATCAGGTGAAAATTTGGTCAGAACCTCTATCAAAGAGAAACCTTCTGTAGTAAGGAAAGATACATTTTCTGCTAATAAGGTATAGTCATTACCACAATATGCAACTTTCTCTTCTCTCTTCCTCCATAGAGAAAAACATAGAATTTTAAATATGTTATAAATGTTGTCAAATTGAAAAACTCAAGAAGAAAACTCAAGAAGTACAAGATCAAAGCTGTATTGCTGTTCTATATTAGAACATTACATATACTTATTTTTTTCCTCATTGAGTTTATTGGTACTTTTTAGGTATACAGTGTAGTTACATTCATTATTGGGATCTTGTACCTTTACATGACAGGTCTTGGTTCTAATTTTTTCCCCTTATCCCTGCCCTCCCTTCACCCTCTCCTCCCCTCCCTACTTACAAATATTTTATTTCCATTTTTTCATTTTCTCATATTTTTTTCTTTTTAATGTTATAAAATTGCCAAGTTTAGACACTAAGAAATTATTTTAAAATAATACTTTTGTCTTATTTGGCTTATATTTTAAATCAGTAAGCCATTTAACATAACTTCTGTTGATAAAAATAACAACAAATATATAAGAATAGTGTAACATTTTATTTTAAAAAATTAATTCATAGGTATTTTAAACTATGCACAGTCTTTGAAATAAGAATTCTTTACAGGTTTTTGGCATACACACTTTCAATAAATATTAATTTAGTTCTAAATACTCATAAATTTTATAAAATTTCTCAATTTTCTTTAGAAGCTACACTGTTCACTTCATCTATGAATATGCTTAGATTAATAGATTAATAACAATGAAATCGGCCAGACAGATGCTGACCTATTATTTGCAGCAGAAAATGGAAATTGTAAAATCTTTGAAGCAAAGTCATGCTGTCTGCTTTTCTAAAGAACTGAGTAATATTTTATTTATATGAAATCTTTCAGGTTTTAAAATACTCTCTGAACTAGAAAATATATAAAACTAAAATACAACTTTGAAATAAAAACTAACATGGCTGAAACCCAGATATGAGCCAAGTAAGCCTGGTTCTAGGAGCCTTTTGTCTCCAAACTTTGTTTTCGCTACTGTCACCAACAGCTGTCAAGTTTTCTATCTTAAATTCTGCACATGGTATGTAGGTCAGCTCTGCTGCAGAAACATCACTTCACATCATGTTCTCGGGATATTCTGTAGTGATGACACAACTTACTTCGATAATACTGATTTGTGGCCAGAAGACATCCAATGGAAGGAACTGAGGCCATGGCTTCACCAGCGAGAGCTGAGAGAGCTGTCAGCCACAATCTCAGGAAGAGCGACCAGAAAAGAGACATTGCCATTATTAGCATGGAGTTTCCTTTTCCTCAGAGTGAATTGTTTTTGTAAAGTAGCATTATTTGACATTTAATAAATATCTGATAACAATTTAATTGTTTACACAAAATTGCAAATATAAAGCAAAAAAGGAAAATGTAGCAAGTCTATAATCCCAAAACTTTAAGAAGTTCATGCAGAAAGATCACCAAGACCGAATCTAACAACATAGTAATTCCTTATCTCAAATTAAAAAAATCAAATAACAGCTGGAGATGGTTTGGTACCAAGGGGAAACGCAAAGAAAAACTTGCATATGCAACTAAAAACATTGCCCACATGACCTACTCTCCATAAAACAAACCTAAAAGTATATTTTTAAAAATTTTAAATATTAACACAAACACAATGTAGTCACTCACCTACTTTCCCCAATTTATGCTTTGATAACAAATGTAGTTTTAAAATTTCTTCAGAAAATACATTGAAAGAACCAGTACTTAGTGCTCTGAGAGAGGCTGAAACAGCCCAGGAACCAGCAATCAACTGCAATGCCTGGTAATGTGATCTGGAACCCCGGAGGGCACTTTATATCAGAGTCCAGGCTGTGTGGAGCCAGCGCAGTGGGGAGTGTGAGGTCAGGTGGTGCCCGGCCAGAAAGGGCTGTGAGTGAACTCCCTCTGCCCCTCTGCCCTCCAACAGTCTAAAGGACCTTGCAGTGTGCCAGCATGCCAACTTAGGCTGCAGTCAACAGGACATTTGGCGTCGGACCCAGGTTGGATTCATTCTTTTTTAATGTCATAGTTTAAAACTCACTACTGGTTACCTGGAAGGAAGTGACACTCAAGTATCTCTTCAGCCTTAGGTAAAAACACACACTCTACAAAAATCACCAAGCTGGGCACACCTGGGGATGTCACACACTGTCTGCAGTTTAGCTGAGGAGACTAGACATACCCACAGGTACAATGGTGCAGGCAGAGTCTGGCAGTCACAGGAGAACAAGGAATTCTGGAGACTTAAATACTTTCTGGGAAAGGGACACCTGCAGTAGGACTTAGTAGATTTACCAATTCCAGCAAGATTGACAAAAGACGATGATTTCAGGGATCATGTGGAAATATTTAAGACACTGTACCAATATTATTTATTGATAGAAAATCTCTTTTATTGCAATTGTAGTAATGTAGATTGATTTGGCATTTGATAGACTCAGTTGATTTATCAAATTTTGGTTTCATTTTATGTTGAGGGGTGGTCATTTAAATTGCTGCTGCAAATTACTTGTGTATGTTGATTTTGCTTGTGTATTTTTAATTCAATTTTGCTTTAAAATTATTCATGTCAGATAGATTTTCAAATGTATTCAAAACAATGATGGTAGATGGTAACTATGGTTCTTTTTAAATATCAACTCCAGGCACAGAAAGAAAATGCTGCATGATTTCACATGTGGAATCTAAAAAGGGTTGAATACATTTTAAAAAGACTGCAGAGCAGATATGGGGAATAGGTGAAATTCAAATGTCGGTCAAAGGGTAAAAGTTGCAGTTATGTAAAATGTCTAGAGATGTAAAAATGCATAACAATAACTAATACAATATTCTAAATGGAAAATTTGCCAACAAAGTAGATTTGGGACATTCTTGTCATAAAATAAAAGCAAATTTATTTTACATATTCATATGAAATAATGGTTATGTTAATGTACTTGATTGCAGTAGACATTTCATTATGCATAGATATATCAAAGCATCATGTTGTATACCTTAAATATATACTATAAAAATATATTCCTACCCCTCATGGTAATAGGTCTTTCTATTGTGCCTTTCATTTTTCTTAAGTATTTTTGCTACAGACTACTCAATTAAATTACATTTTTCAAATAATTATTTTGTCTTCTCAGTTTTATATTTAATTGTTTTCTGTTTGCCTTTTTTTTTCTTCCCATTACTCACTTTAGAATTATTAGGATTATTCCTATTACCATCAAGTCCAAAATATAACCACCATTATAATACCTTAAAGTTTGAGTTATTTAGGGATGTTTTCCTTTTTCCAAAAGAAGAGAGATTTTTAAAGGTATCTTCTAATGGATTTTTTTTTATTCATTAAGTTTACTAGTACATTTTAGGTATATACTATGATGACATTCATCATAGGGAATTTGCACCTTTACATAATGAAAAGGTATCTTCTAATGGATTTTTTTTATTCATTAAGTTTATTAGTACATTTTAGGTATATACTATGATGACATTCATCATAGGGAATTTGCACCTTTACATAATGTATCTTGGTTATCCCCCCCCCATACTCCTGCCTTCCCTTCAACCCATCCACCCCTCCCTATTTACATAGACTTTGTTTCCATTTTTCTTTTTCTTATATTTTTTCATGATTTTAAAATCCATTGTATCAGTTTAAGAGAATTTTTAGTTAATCTTTGAAATAGATTATGGAACTGGCTTTCTGTTCATTTAGAAATGACAAATATTATTCATTTGCTGAATTTGTTATTATTTTATGTATCCATTTGATTAAATTAATTAATTTTGTTAAACAAAGATCCTTGTCAAGGCATTACTGCTAAGTCTATCAGTTTCTGGTACGATTACATCACCCAGTTCTGTCTATTTTGTTTAACATATTATGAAGATTTGACATAGGTGCACATAAAAATCACAATAGAATATCTTCCAAATAGATCTTTGCTTTTGTCTTCTTTTATCAACACCAGTGTTTCATTTTGGTGCCATTTGCTTAGTTTGTCTAATACTAATTTTGTAGCACCAACTTTTTTTCTACCTAATCCCAAGATGTATCTTTTGTATCTCTTCATTTTCGATTTAGTGAAATTAATCATATATTTGAATTAATTTCCGTATTCTTATTCTGTGGTTTCTATGTAACCACACTTTCTTTCCTTCTTTTTACTCATTCATTTTTCTACTTTTTATTTAATGGATATTGCGTAGGCATTTAACAAATCTTTGAGAAGAAATAAATAGTATTTTATTTTTAGTCTTGGAGTAGGCATTCTTATTGTGTATCACAAAAGGTACTCAACTATGATTTTGTCCAACCAAGACTATTCTGCAGTCTTACTGGACATCTTAAGTACAGTTTTAATTAGTCTTTCACATTTCATCTGATAGTTCATCTTCTTTTCCATTTTGAAAATTTCTCACCTGCTTCTTCTTTGTATGCTGCCTTCCCTCTGTATTAATTGGTTATATCCACAAGATTTCATAATAAACAGATGTATACACACACAGCTGTTGGTGGCATGACATAAGCCTGCCTTTCTTGTTCTCAGTTGTGCAGAGGAGCTGAAGAAAGTGTGTTCCACAGTACCAGTGCAGGTTGGCTAGTTCTTGGCTGATCTACACTTTGTTCCAGACATAAGCTCCAGTCAGCTTCTGGTTCTCTCTTTAATTCTACAGTATCAAGCCCCTAAAGCATGCTTTCTGACAACGGTTGAATGGAAACTGTATGAGGGGTTATTGGTAAGGTACAATGACTCCATAGTTCTGGGCTTGAAAGTGTCAGTTCTTTCCATCTTTCACTGGCCACAAGATTGTATATCTAAAACCAGTACTAATGGAGTAGGGAAGTGTTCTACTCCCATGAGGGCTTGGAGGTAGAGGCAAATATATATTTGCTGACAAACAGTCCAGTCTGTGACTTCTATCATTTCTCCTATCTTCTATTCTCTAATTAGACATATTAGTGGCCTTTCTAAAGACTTTTACATCTCAACCATATATGTGTGTATTTAAACATATATAGGAAATAAATTTAGATAGATATAACATATATATTATCTTACTTCATTCTGAATATATACCAGAACATTTGTCCTAACTTACTACTTTTTTATTTAACTATTTCCAACTAAATTGTATCATGTCCATTGAGTTTTTGCAGTCATTTTATTTTAGTATTTCTCATTAGTTTCTTTCTAAATCTATCTACTGTAACTTTCTTGTTTTTCCACATCTTTCCTTTTTTCTCTACCCACCCTTACCATATTTATTATGGAGTACTGATAATAAAATTAGCTTGATTGAATATACTTCTGTCATAATTGATAATCTCTTGACTGTCATGCTTAGTGTTAGATTTCTTCAAAGGTTTTGGATTGTGGGTATACAAGCTCATTTTATGAGAATTAGATGTAGTTATATCATTCTATCTCCTCCGCTACTCTCCATACAAGACACTACTCTCACCACTTCACTCTAGTGGTATCATGGGTATTAGGTGTCTCTCACCAGATCCTACCTTTTCAATCTTTGGATCGTATACCACTCACTTTTCACTGAGACATGGATTTCATATATTACATTGTGAACTGCTCAAGGGCAGAGAATATCCTATTCATTTCTTCATTTGCAACACCCAGAACAAAACAGACCTATAAAGTCATTCATGTTCTAAAAATGATGTAAAATCAACACATTCCTCTATGAATGGTAACAAAGATTCCATTCTTAATGTAAAACAGCATTATGGGGCTCAGATTTATACACTATCAACTGACATAAATAGATTATTTTTTCTTTATTGTTGGCTCATGGTGGTTGCTTTTTCCTTCAATACTTTCAAATCACATTTTTCATTCAGTCTTTCTGTCAGAAAATTACTTGTGCTCATTTCTCTTTGATGGTAACAAAAAGAAAGGGACTATCCAACTCTGATCACATGCTGAAAGCCAGCAGGAGAGATGGAGGCTCATACACATGTTTCTGTTAAAACAAGCTACAAGATACTCCTTAATGATGTGTTATAACAGGTGGAGCTAAAACAGGGTTAAGAAAGTGTAAGTACTAATTAAAGACCAATACAACCTCTCTGAAAGATGCCATTTATCACATGTAAGATACAATTATTCTTTCTAACATTATTGGCATTAGGTGCAGTAGACAAAAGATACCAGGTTGCTGTTTTCCAGTGCATGGAAATCCATGGCACGAATTCCAGTTAAGCTTTTAGGTAATTCATCACTACCAGTGCTGTCACAGATAACTGGTCAAGTGTGCAACATGAGATCAACATTTGACTGCCCTGGAAATCTTAAACTGTCTAGATCTGATTCCAATCTGGTATTTTATTTTATTATATTATTGTTTTATTATTTATTTATTAATGTTTTGGTTTTGTTTCTTTCTTTCTTATTAAGTTTATTGGTACATTTTGGGTATACAGTATAGTTACATTTATCATTCAGATCTTCCACCTTTACATAACAGGGTCTTGGTTCTCATTTTTTCCCCTTGTCCCTACTCTCCCTTCACCCCCTCCTCCCTTCCCTATTTACAAAGACTTTATTTCCATTTTTTCATTTCTCATTTTTTTCCTTCTCCCTTATTAGCTTTCCACTACCCTTCCCATTTCCCCTACACGTTTATCCCTTTTCTTCCTATTTCACATTGTCAATTATATAATTAGGATCTTATGTACCATTATAGTTTTTCACATCAGAGAAACTATTCAGTATTTATATGTGTGTGACTTATTTATTTCACTTAGGAGTGTATCCTCAATATGTATCCATTTTCCTATGAATGACTCTAATTTC